GAATCCCCAGATGATTCTAATGTGCAGCCCAGAGTGAGAACCAGTGATCACATTAATATTACCACATATCCAGGCTCCTTGCTCCAAGCCCTCAATGGAAGCAACTCAACTGGCAGAGAATGGGAGAGAGTCCAGCAATAGCTGACACGAGACGGTAGAATTTTACTTAGAGAGTTCCAGATCTGAGAAGCCGTGGAGCACCGTGGAAAATGCAAGGACACTGGAGTGGTCAGACCTGAGTTCAAATTCCAGCTCTAGTCTTTATTAACTGTGTAACCTTGGGCCAGCCACTTGCCTTTTGTGGTTGTTCTACAGATGGGATGGGAGGATATGAGGAAAGCCCCAGGCATATAACATTGCTCTATATCAATAGTAGTTGCTTCTGTGGTTGTTGTTGTTATTATTACTACAATGGTAATGACTACTGCCAGGAGGCATTAGGAGTGAAAAAATCAAATTACAGAAAAACATTTTTTATTAGTCAAATAATTCCTGCTTTTATTACTTAGCATTTAATTTGCAGCTATTTATATTGCAAATTAGCTTGGCAATCATATTTCTCATTCATGACAACTGGGTAAGGGCAACATTATTACTCCCGTTCACCACAAGAGGAAAAGACAACATATCCATCTATTCTGTCTCTAGTTTCTATGATTCTGTGATTAGACACCTGCAATCATGTTCATTAGTTCCCTATGAAAAATGATACTCAACGCAGATGGCAAATGCAGGAAAGAAGAATTAACAAGCACTTGATAGCAACCCCAAAATAACATCTAAATAATCACCTCTGAACATTAAAGTCATGGCAAACAAGTTCCAATTTATATAGAGATGTCAGAAAGGATTAAGGAAAAATGAACAAATACATTTTTCTTTATCCTCATTCATTTAGGAAATGTCTGTCATAGCTCAGAAATCCTATTTGAAATGCAGAAAGAGAATGGTTAATTTCCTCTAAGAAGGGTCTTCCATTAGCAGATAGGAAGACCCTAATATGTCCTGATATTTTATCTTTAACCAGAGCTACAAAGTAGAAGAGATCTAAGATGGAGAGACCCAACTCAGTAGTTCTCAATCAAGATCCCCAAGAAGCCCGTGGGCTGTGGGCAAGGGCCCCACAACTTCCAATGTACACCAAACACATTCCCAACACTGGAGAATGGCTTGCTCACAAATACCATCTCTTTGTCATATGTACGTTTCCATGAATGAAATACAAACGCCTCTAGACATACTACTGAATTCATAATCACTATATATAACCACTATTACACGGGGAGGGGAGTCCTCAATTTTCTGTTGTTCAAAAGGAGTCTTCATCCAAAAGGTTAGGAAACACTGATCTAATACAGTCCCCTAATCTCACTGAATAGGTCCTAGAAGATATTGGGACAACTGAGATTCCTATAATCTAGGTTTTCTAATTCCCAAACGGTCTTTGTCCCACACCATACATCCCTTCCAATGGGAAGTTAACAGCCGTGGTCATGTTCTCTTCCTAATATCTCTTCTCTTTCTAAAAGAGGAGAGTATAGTCCTACCCACTGTCACTGGATATATGCTAGAATTTTCTATATATCCTGAATCTGTCCTTTCTCTTCCTTTCCTTCCCCTGCTCAACTCTCCAGTTTATGCCTTTAGGGTTGGCAACACTCCACCCCCTTTCAAGCTCCGGTGCTCTGTAAGTGCCCTTGGACATTTAGTCTTAATATGAAGGTACTGAATAAGGAATGTGTTAAGTCTGTATAAAATATGCATATGTATGAATGTATTTTATAGTTAAAACCCCAGAACTTCTATATCTATGGAAAATAAGAAAATTGGTATATTCGTGAATAATCATTTTATTTTCTCTGAACCTGTCAACACTAACAGGCTCTTAAACCCCTAGCCGACCAACTTTTCAAAATGCTTTCACGTCTCTTATTTCAGTTTATTGTCCCAATTGGTCACTAAAATGTGTTACTGGAGCACAATTAGAACTTAAGTGCCATGACAAGTAGAAATGATCTATTTTATTTTCATAGTCTCCCCAATAGCTAAAACAGTGCCTGGCACATGGTAGGCATTCATTCAATTAATGTTTGTTGATTGACTGAATCAACAGTAAATAGGAATGACAGGTTTATTTATTCATCATTTAGCCTACAAGTAGTTTTATTTTTATTTGAGGAGATAGAATGATCTACAAGAGAAGAACTGAGTCCCTAATAAACTTTTCCGTCTTCAATTCTCCTCGTAATATTTGACTTAACATCCTTTCCTCAAATAGTTTTAATGTAATTCTTCAAAATTATACAAGTAATACATTCATTTTAGGAAAATCAGAAACTACCGATAAAAAGAAAATAAAAGTTCCCTATATTCCCATAACCCAAGGAAGACACAATTAACATGCTCATGATATCCTTCCAGACTTTATCCTGTGTGCTCAGTACATATATAGACACACACACACAGCTGACATAGTTCCATAACTCTCTGTCCTAGATTCTATGATTTGGAGTTTTTTTTCTTTTTTCCATAAGCCCTTTTTTTGGGTCTCTGACAATAGCTCCTTACCCTCTTCCTATATCCTAAATATATTTCTTCCCCAACATTTAGATCCTGAGTTCAAGAGGATGTTTTCCCCTTTTCCTTCCAGAAGATTCATCTGTTCCTATTCAACTTTAAATTTGTTGTGGGTATCTTGTATTTTCAGTTTTCCCTTTCCTCTGGGATACCAGAGTCCTGCATGTCTAAAACCAAATGAATCCTGTTCCAACAAAACCAGATCACTCTTTCCCCCCATTTCTGTCAACTGTCGCACAATTCTACAGGCTATCCTCAACAGTCACCTTTGGTCCCCCAACCTCAAAGGGATTTTCAGCCTTGCTTCGGATCATCTCTCTCTCCCTTCTCTTCTCATTGCTACTATTATTGTTTAGGGCCTTACATCTGTATCATTTTCTGCCTGGGTCTCCTGCTTGTTGTATAACAAAACACCTATCAAAGTTACCCACTGCTGCCGGGTAACTTCCTAAAACACCACTTCCATCTTGCTATCCTATAGTCAGAAATGTGGGATGGCTGCCCACTCTTACAGAATGGTGCTGCAGCTTCTTCACAGTCTCACCTCAGACTACTTTTCCATCCTTATTTCTCATTATTCTTAAAAATAAACCTCTTGCTCCAGCCAGCCTGGTGTCCTCAGTACTCACCCAACCCCAAAACATCTGATTGTGAGTTAGGTATTTATGAAGTACTTATTATGTGTAAAACCCCTTCATTCACTCGACAGATATCTACTGAGCATCTATTCTATCAGGTAATGTGCTGTTGTTGGGGATGCAAAGGTGAACAAGACACACCAGGCCCCTGTCCTCATGGACCTTAGAGGCGAATGCGTTACAGAGAGGAGACTCTGAGACATGGTGGTCCCAGCTCAGGGTACTTCCAGATGTTCCATTAAAATGTCAAATGAGTCGAGAAATCCCTGAGGGCTGAACTTTGTGGCCCAGGGGAAGGATTCAGAAGAAAGGAAGGGCTGAGTGAGGAGAGCTCGAGTGTGAGAAAAGGCTTCTCTGAAGTGGGACTCAACTTGGGCCTTAAAGGATGGGCTACTAGGAAAGGGGGTGCCCTCCATCCAGGGGGATGTGAGGAAAGGCACAAAGGCAGACCGGAAACAGCAGCAGCAATGGCAGGGGCTTCTTCTGTACAAAGGTTCACTCAACACCATTCAGCAGAGCCCACGCTCCCTCCCTGTGGGGCCCCAGGCTCCTGGGTGGATGTGAGTATGACTCAGGCTCGGCTCCTACATGCAGGGATGGCCATCCAGCCAGGAGGATGAGGTAGGTCTGTGATGACTTATAGCACCCTGGAAAGGGAGACATTCATCCCATTAGAAATTCGGGGAAAACAGGGAGAAAGTGCAGGAGGAGGTACCTGCCTGGGCCCCTATTGTAGTATTTATAGAATCAAATGTTTTTACAGATGTACGTGCACCTACTGGAAATAACTATGTGGTTGCAAATGTTTTCTCACTCATGTTCTCCTAAGTGACCAGCGAACCGGGCAGAGTAGGTGAGTAAGATGTGTTTTCCAGACGATCCAAGTGTGGCACAGACCGTGTAAGTGACCTGCTTAGGTCAGAAACACACACGGGCAAGAGTAGCACACGAACACCCTTGCACCTCGGCCGGTTCCTGCAGCAGAAGCTCGGAGCGGGGGCGCGCACTGCAAGGCCTAGGAGCCTGCAGGACACCCGGCCGGCCGGGGCACTGAAGCCACGCAGGCAGCTTGGATGTAAAAGGGCAGGATGCAGGCAGCCTGCGAGGGTTTGGGGGAGGGAACGCGACCCAGAAAGTCTTCTATACCCTCCCCGCAGCCTTCTGAACCATAAGCATCCTTAAGTTTCACCCCAAATCTCTTTTCCATCCACTGATTTAACCCAACTAACCTCCCCGGGAGACCGCGACAGGATGCCCCGCCAGAACACGGCTCGGCTCAGGGCAGTGAGTGAATGAATGAATGAAGTCATTAACTCCGGGGACCTGCACCGCTTAGGGTGCAGACCCTGAGTCCTTACCTCCCTCCCCAGGAGGGTAGGCCGCACGGGCCGCCCTCGCCACCCGTGCCCGGAGCAACGAAGGGGTGGGTGGCGAAGGCCGAGGGCCCGAGTTCCAGGGCCACGGGACCCCGCGCCGCCCCAGGCTCGAGCCCCCCACTGGAAGCTGGGGCTCGCCTCCCACACTCCCACCGAAGGCGCTACCTGAGATCGCTAACTATTTCCCCATCAGGAAAACGTCGGGGGAAGTGGCGACCAGCAACGCCACCCGGGGGAGCGCTGGTCGGGAAGCGTGAGGGAGGAGGGCCGAGGGGTCTTTTCCAGCTCCCGCCAGGGGGCTGGAAGCCTCGCGAGATTTGGGGTCGCGCTCGGCGTGGCGTTGCTTAGCGACGCGGAAGACGCTCGCGGGCCCCCAGGCTAACCCCCGCGGTCGCCTGAAATCGCCTACCATGGGGGACGAAGGCGGCGGCCCCGGCTGTGGGCCCACTAGGGAGCTGCGGAGGCTGAAGCAGCAGGCGCTGGAGTACTACCGGGAGAACGGCGTCCCGCGCAAGCTGGAAGAGCTGCTCAACTCCACCTTCTACCTCCAGCCTGCCGACGTCTACGGGCACCTGGTAGGGACCTGGGACAGCACCCGCTTCCCTCCAGCCCCTCCCCCCGCCTCG